TTGACTATCTCAAGAATTATTTAGGTACACATGTACAAGTACATGTACATGTATGTGTAGATCTATTTTGACCATGCAGTGCAGGCTTAAAAATTATAGTTTAGTATGTTATTTATTACCAGAAATGGTTAGGCCAAGTAATAAAAACTGTATAACTACACTAGATTTATTTTAATGGAAGAATTTTTATATGATAATAACTTCTGAAGATTTTAAACAATTTTAGGATTTCTCTCAGCATAGCACATAACTAATCTGAATGAAGGTATCTTGGATATCATAAACTTGACAAATAAGTCCTTATTTAAATTGTTACAGGACTTTCAGGTTAATTACAAATGACAGATGTTCATTGACATTAGCTAATAGTGGCAAAAAATAGAAGTAGTGCAATGCATGTATATAGTCTTACATTATGTGACATGCTAATAGAATGCAATTACAAAATGCAAATATAAAAAATAATAGAGCTTAGCATCAGCAGATCCACATATTATAGGTGCTTCACAGTATAGAGCATTTATTTTTATCATGCTCTGATGGGCTAAAAATTAAATACATTTATAATAATTAATAAAATTCAAATTTTTTTTACTTTTTGGCAGCTTCATCAAATCTCATTAGATGCAGCTTAGTTTTCAGCTTTTCTTTACTAAGATCAGGGTATTTTTTTACCATAGCACGAAGCACTTGAAATACAATGGTTTGTGTATCACTATGCTCATGTTGGTATTTATCCATTACTGACTGAAGATACCCTGAATCATCGTCACAAATTTTGACAAATTTTTTGATATCTTGAGCTTTAAAAGAATTTGATGCTCGCAACAAGTCATCATCGTCTATATCACTAATAGTTCAAAATTGAAAAACAATTAATTGAAATTAGAGTGCACCTTAAACATGTAGCTACTTCTGACATACTCTGAGGGGCATAAAGATGACCTTGGCTATGGCTGGCAAGGCTTTTATCTTGAATTTGATCACAAGTGCTGCCAGAAGCTCTCTATTAAAAAATGATCTTGTACATGGCATATAAATTATTAGTTATCATAATAATAATTATTATTGTATATGTTTTCTATTATCAGCTACTTTGCTACAACTATCTTAATTTGAACTCACACTTGTAGCACTGGAACTAGAGATTTGGTTACTACAAACAACACCATGTAATATATTGATCGCAATTAAAAATCAGTCTTACTTATCAAAATTAGTAAATTGACGAGAATCAGAATCTGTACTAGTATTCTTAACTTCTACTTCAGTGACTTCAATATTTGAAATACTACGTGGTAATCCCTAAAATGCCTTACATAAATAGTTGCATGCAAAATTTAAAATTTGTATTTTAGCACTATAAATATAGATATAACTTAGACTAACTTGTGGATCAAATTTGTAAACTTCGATTCTATTAATTTTTTACATAAAATAATATGAATCAAAACAAAAAGTTATAACTTTACTAACCTTTTTTTGGTTTGAGCCTGTTCATTAATGTGTCTAGAACTGTCAAAATCTGAATTTATTTCGTGAAAACTATCACTGGGACGTCTCTATAATGTTTACAGAAAGTATAAAAGGACTTTTTACAGCTACATTGAATTTTAATACAATACAAAATCATACTAGCCACATGCCAATATGACATAGGATAAAATCACAAGAAATTGCTTGTCGAATATAGCTATACTTACACTTCTGGCATATTTGTAGTTGGAAATTTTGACTCTATTATAAAAAATAATAAGCCGTCAAACTGTATACACTTACTGATCAGCAAGTTGATGTAGATCAGAAAGCTTAAGAGCTTTGACTAACTCATCTCTACATCCTCCACCAATTTTCCACTCATAAAGCAAATGAAGCATTGGATTATTACTATGAGCTGGATTTTGCTGGAGAGCCTTAAACTTTTGAAGCATTTCCAAGCATGCAGCAAGAGTAGCAGCTTTGTCACCAACTCTCTTTGATATCTCAACCATTTCTTGTTCGCTAATAGATTCTGGTATCTGTTTGAAATTTAAAACTATAAAAATTATTATTAGTTGCTTCCTTACATCTTCATCTGTCTGTTTTCCATCAGGAAACCAATAAGATTCTTCAAGTGTTGGTTGTCGATGTTTTTTCTTTTTTTGACAACAAAGAGGTAGGTCAGCTGTTTGACCTGAAGCAGGAGAAATGTAATGAGGCTCATATCCATCACATGCAGTGCATTCATAGTTTAGTTCTCTTGCTATCGAAATTTTTTTTGAAAAGTCAGGCTGATTAGCTAAAGAATTATCCACCTCATTGCCACATTTCTCTAGTATACTCTTCAACTCTTGGCAAGTATTACTGAATGGCGTTATATTTGGTGCATCACTGAAACGCTCAACACTAACTCGTATTGTAGTACAAAGATCAGTGAACGAAACCTGGTTGACACTTGGAGTTCCAAACATAAAAATAATATGGTTTCGAAACACACCTTCTTCAAAACAAATTTTGCACGATGACTTTTTAGCAAATGATGCAATAAAACGAGTGAAAAAACCAGGAGGAACAAAATCAGTGCTAAAAGTGATGTGAAGGTTCGTTGCTCGGGCAACTGGCTGATCATCCAGAAATGATTGTGGAGATGAAATATCATATGATTTTAGCACAGCAGGTAGAAAATATTGCTTTGTATCAGGAATAAAGAATTGATCTGTTTCAACTTCAGCAGCAAGACGAAAATGAACCAATAGTTCCATCAAGTCATCAGCCTCAATTTCTGTACAATCTCTCCAAACCTCTTGATACAAAGGCTGGACAAGAATACCTTTTTTGCGCAATAAGCTCCACATAGCTTCTGTTGCATCTTGGTTTTCTCTGCCCTCAAGTGTAAAGACTTTTCCAAGAGTTTCAACAAACCACTGAGGGCTTGTAATAACCCTATCTTGAAGACCTTTGATAAACGAATAGTAAAGGAGAACTCCAAGATCATGATAGAAAAGGAGAACTTTAGGAACATCATTGTAAGGAATCTTACAAGCTAAACCGATTTCATGAGCCTCTTTTAAACTAATAACTTTCTTGTCAAGCATTTTAATAATTTTACGAAACAACACCCAGCTCACTGGCGTCTTGACAATCAGCTTGTTGCAGGTGAAGTCGCTAACTTCTTCTCGAATGGTTGAAAATCTTGGATCTTCATTGTGGCTTCCAGCAGTTGTGTTATCAATAATCAATACCTTATTTATTAAGTAAGCAAAAGCCTTATTCTGATATATAAGCATCATTTTTTTAATAGCAGCTCTCTGCTCATCAGGATTTATCTGGTCGCCATGTGTACCAATGCAATAGATACGAGGATAACTGAGAAAGGCTCCTCTTTCATCTAGCTGGGCCAAGTGATGATGAATATTTGCCATCCAGTTGAAAAGCAGATCCTTTGTGGACATGCTTTCTACATCATCACATACTACATTTCCTTTTATGTTGCAAATATTTTTCCATTTCTCATCTAAACTCTTGGCTGCATTAAATAAAAGAAAAAATAGCGTGCGTGGTGTTAGAAAAGCCGGAAGAATCTCCAAAAACACTGCCTGCCCTCCACAATCCCAGATGTGCATGAATGGCTGAGGCTTTATATCTTGTATTGGCACAGGCCCAATCTCTTGAGCACGTTTTATTGCTTTTTCAAGAAACAAATCAACTTTTTCGCTGTGAACTTTTTGATCACAAAAATCAGCTGGGCAAAATGGTGATTCTATTTGATATAATAAGAGAGCAGCTACCACAGAACGAAGATTTTCAGAACCAGAATCTTTATCATAAACTGCAGTGATTAAGTAAGCAAGTTCATCAATTTCATCATTTTCATCAACTTGCTTCCATTTTTTATTTTCACTAAGCATGTGACTCTTCAGCTGAAATGGACGATTACTGAGCCCATCACTTTTATTTAAAGTGACAAACCCTTTTTTACTACTTAAAGGCTCATCTGATTGAGATTTGACCATGATGGCAGCATCCTGTTGTTCGGTTGGTGGTGTATCAATTGGTCGTACCGATTGGACATCAAAAATAATGGTGCTATTAGTATCTCGTTGATACTTCTCTTTCATAAGTGATCGAGTAAAACATGTTTTCCCAACTCCAGCTGATCCAAGAAGCATAATACGTGAATAGGCAACATTGACTTCTTTTTCTGCAACTTCTTTATCATATAAATCTTTTTTAATAAAATCATCACTGATACAATGAAAGTGACCATTACCTTTTTTGGCTTTTATTTTACTAGCTAATGCTTGTCCACGTGTTTCCTCTTGATTAAGAAAGTGCTCAAATTGCTCATGATCATCAGCTTCTTCTTCTTCCTATATTATAATACTAAATCAAATTAAAAAACTAATGAACATCACACTTACAGATTCAAATCGCTGGAATCGATGCTATGGTAGTTAATTAAAAATATTAAAGAGTATATCAAATATTTGTTAAATTTTTGCATTATTCTTACTGATTTTAATGGCTAATTCAATACAAAGAGAAGAAAGTAGAATTAAACATGCATAATTTTAAGTCACACTTACTGCCTACAATTAATAAAAAATAAACCACCATACTATAGCTTTTAAACAAACTTACTGATTTAAGCTGTTGTACCGTATATCCGTAGAAGAAACAGTATGATATAAAAAGAAATAAAACATAGCACTGATGAAGCAACTTCTATACTGTATTACCGAACTTACCCTACTTAAACTTGCTTTTCTAGACATTTTCTTATCAATGATTCAGAGTAATACCTAAAAGCAAAAGACTAGACAGATCTAAATCAATTGTAGTTTTCTATGGTGCCATGCTAAGTTGCTAATGTAGTCTTGCTGCCCATGCAGACCCTCCCCTAAAATCGTATTCAATTCAAACTGTAAGGGGGGAGGGTCTGGATTGCTAATCATGTAATGAGAACAGAAAAGCCCGGTTCTAAACTACATAGCCTCAGTCTAGTGTCATTAATAATCATTAGCATGATGATTAGCTACACTAAAATTCTACAAATTTTAATGTAGATCTAATAAAATAAATTTTATCAGCCATACAGGCTGATATAGAGTCTTTTATATGCTTATATGATTCAGGGCACCTGAAAAAGGCTAGAATTAAAATGATTCAAAAATTTTAATCATGCAAGTACTGGTTTAACTTACTTGAGCAACCCTTGGACCCCTTCTCTTCAGTTCTTCTTGGCGCGAACTAGTGTAGTGCGCAGAGATAGTATCTATGCAGAGATAGACAACATACACGGCACGCCCCCAAATTAAAACTTTTAATATCTAGATCTACCTATGATTTTAATTAAATCAGAGCATAGGAATAGATTTAGAGCTACCCTCTGAACATTATGCCTAATTAGATGGCAAAAATTCACACACAAATAAAAATTATAAACCAAAATTTTTTACATTGGTCGATAAAATGTAGCACAAAATTTAGTTAATGTATTAGAGGCATAGATTAGTCTCTAATACTTATGATCAGAGTTCAGTGAGGGAACAGTTTTACATGCAAATTTTATAATCAAAAGGAGGTGGCGAAATAATTGAAATACTTTGACTGAATATGCTTGCCAATAAGGTATTATTAGGGTATTTAATGTTAGACATGGCAAGGTATGAGGACACCAACAAACTAAATAAAAAAGTGTAGTTACCAGTAACTTTGGTCACTTTGACTACTCTGGTTTGAAGCTAGACATTGTGACTTATGCATAGGTTTAGATCTACATGATGCTTACAGGAACTACAGTTGTGCCACAGTCTGAGTGGTATCTCAATGAATCTGTAACTGTCAAATGATACGTGGCATGACTAATAGGTATAATAACCTGGTAAATTGGTAACTGAACAGTAACTTATAGTCTGGGTAACCTGGGAACTCA